CACGTATTGCTGAAGCGACCTACTATACATACCTTTTTGCCACGTCTGACGCAGCCGATCACGCATGCCAGACCTTCAGAAGCCCTTAACAAGCGTTCACATACCCAAGCGCTCACAGTTTACAGCAACCGCTGCAATGCTTATCCTGCTCCCGCTCCCCCAGCTGCATGTCAGGGCAAATAACCGATTTCAGTGCCTCCTTATGCAATACGCAACTGTTCTTTCACGTGCTGGTCCGTCTTACTTGCCTACCGAACGGATACCGAAGACAACAGGCTCCTTGCAGAAGGCATTCAAAGAGCTGTTTCTTATATTTAACTTGTTCCACCCCACGGACCATACCCTCTGCCGTCAGTTGAAAAGCACTTATTTGAGCCAGAGAGAAACACAGTTAGAGCTCTGAAGTTAGACGACAGAAAGCAAAAGCCACCACTACTGCTGCTACACGGGATGTATGAACGAGTCCACAGGCATCGCAGAGCAGGATGTACGTCTATCTCTGTGAGCTCCTCAGAAGACCGGGAAACAAATACTCCAGTCACGGACAGTTCAACAGCAGCACTGCTAGAACTTGTTATTTCATCAGTGTGCCACTGAATGTCAGTTTAAATTGCTTTCACTACTTACGATGTTTTGTTCGTCTCCCAGGTCACTCAATCAAGACCGGTCAAAACCAGAGTAATTTCAACTTTCTCCAGATCAGACGCATTCTTAATATCTCTGAGAGTGAAAGTGTGAAGAACATACTCTACCAGAGATGGGAGAGAATTCATGTAGCTTTCTGCACTACAACATACTATCGATGTGTGATAAATAGTACTAACAGTCGTCTTAAAGCTTGGGATATAAGCTGTGAGATCACAAACTTAGCACTGTGTAGAGTTACAATTCTGAATTTTTGAGCATTATAATGAAACAAAGGCCATTTCTGACAATAACTTAAATGCAAGACAGTGAATACCCACATATCAGTACGCTGGAAAGAAGTACTGTAAAATCACTTTGGAACACACTAATAGTGTTCAACCACGTACAATTAGTGAGCTATCAGGTTTTGCAGTTTAGGCACTGTTAGAGCACAACTTAGCTTTAAAGCAGGAATTGAACCTTTAAAACACATTTTGCCAAGTTAAAGAAATATCACTGAAAAGAAATCACACAGTATTAAACCCTCCCCACAAACACATAATTGAATTTTGAAAATCAATTAATTCAAAGACTCCTGTAGGAAAAAAAAAGGTTTGTATTTTGCTTGGGTACCAATTATCAGGACAACACTGTAGAGTCTCATTTGGTTATTAGTACATAGGCATTTTATAACGTTGCTCCTAGTTAGTTGTTTTCAAAGACTATTAAGAGAACATAACATTTATTTTTTTTGTTATTAGAGAATAAAGTCCTTGGTTTTCACATATTTTCTTCTAGAGTGCTGTATTAGAAATGATTAGTACACCAATATGCATGGCAAAAACTGGAATTCTGCTTATGAAATTAAGTTGTACATATCAAAAAATGGAACTTTGGGGAGTATAAACTAATACTCAAATGCACATGGACTGCTCTGTAAAGTATTTAAGCAACTTAATCATGCAAATATGTTTAAAATACACAAGTTATTGCTTAATCTTCCACGCAGAGCACGACTTGCATTGTTAGTTATTACTCACTTGGGAATAACAGGTTTTTGTAACGTTTTACCATTCCATGAAACCACATTCTATTAGAAACTAAACCTAGAACGAGTCAGGAGACAGTGATTTTTTTTTTCTTTTAGGAAGAAGCGATTCAGACTAGGTCATCCGTAAAGTTGCATTTAGAGACAAACTCTGTGCACAGCTGAACCCAAGAGAGTAGAGCGAAGTGTAGAGCGAAAACACAGCACACCCCATCCATAAGGGACAGACATCTCACACGAGAAACAATGCTGCAAATTTATTTTCTTTAAAGTTCTTATAACCTCAACTTTGTTTATCCCACATAAGACATTTTCAGCAATAAGAGAACCTCTAGTTCACATACTATACAATTGCAAGTAAAATGAGGGGCATGTGAAGTACAAAAAACCTGAAAATACTAGCTTACGTTGTGTAGACTTAAAATACTGCTCAAAAAAAAAAAAAAAAAAAAAAAGAGTGGCTTTTCAGCCTTTTACCTTTGCATTTTGGAAATCTTCTCTGCAGTCCAAAGGGAGGCAGTGAATGGGGAAAAAAAGCAACTCCAAAGCAGGTGGAACGAAGAAAGAGGCACATTAGTAGGAGAACAAAGGAAACGCAGATCAAACGAGGGAAGAGACACTCCTCCAATCACAAAGTCCAAAGAAAAACGTTTTGCAGGTGTTTCAGAAATGCATGCTGCTGTCCATCCATCCCAGCTGGGTACACGAACCACACTCCATACTATTTAGTAGTCTACATTTATACTTGCGATATAGAGAGCACATCTCTTGGACGGTACGTAATTCCTTGCCCCAAAGAGCTTACAATCTAAGTTCCTAAAAAACAACGCATCAAGTAGCTGGATCAAGATCAAACAAATGGAGAAGACAGGGAAATCATTTTATAAGGGATTGAAGTTGGGTTACATTACTAAGTGAGGTAACTTCTGAACATCATTGGCAGTGATGTTCTTAAGACATAAGTAGTTTTTCAGTTAGAAGCTCTTCTGATCATGAAAAACGGTTTAAATCGTACTGAAGGATGCATTAAAAGTAATCCACAAACATTCTTAAAAATAGACTTGTTGGCAAGACACAAAAATATTCAGATTGCCTAAGTTCTTCACTTGAAACACTAACTTGTCATTCTACTGGAAAGATATGGATGTTACAGAAATTCATACGTACATGTCACATTTGAACGTAAAAGGCTTTTTACATTTAAGCTTAAAATGTTAAATTCTGATTTAAGAATCCTGCTGCTATAAACATAGCTTTAATACTTAAATATTAATATGAAAATAGTACTACTTTAAAAATGTATTTTTAACTTAGAAATAAACTATGGACAAGTTACAATTGGCTTGAAATCAACATTCTTTAACTCCAGTAAGTGACCCACTTTTCCCCACTGATTCGAACACTGTTCTCACTACTTGGCAGTTATAATAGAAGCGATTAGCCCATCAACTTGAATGGTTTTAGTTTTGTTTTGTTGGGGTTTGGGTTTTTTTGCATTTCCCTAGTTGTATCTTATTTTCTGAAGTCAAAAGTCTTGCACTTTATCTACTAACTGGCAAGATTAGTCGAAACATAATTTATATATAACCTTTGTGCCCATTCAGCTATCATTTCTTAAACCCTTTACATGCAAATAGAAAGTACCATTTTTCATGCAACTATGACATTTGTGTCTTTCATACCAGGGAATCTTGCTTTGGATTATATACATGAGCCATCTGCAACACTTCCATGACATTTGAAAAAATGTTGGAATAGTTATAGTAATAAAAATTAACCATAATTATCCAGTCTGCATATGATAACCAAGAGGAGAAATACTTTTTCACCATAAGAAATAGCATATGCAGCGGAAAAGTCTGACTTGAGCTATGCTTTTGGAAGGGAAGCAGATGTTAAGAGAATTTCATTTAAGCACAGAAGTGAGACAGTAAGGATAAGGACTGCTATCAGGAAATGCATTTAGTTTTGATTTTGAAAGTACTCTCAAGGAAATGACACCAGAAATGAAGACTAAAGAATTATACATTTCTTTGACCCAAGTCTGTACTAGCATTCACTTTTTAGAAGTTACAACCGTATTAAATTTGCTTATAGGAGGATACAAAAGGAGTATAGCCACAGATTACCAAGAGAATTTGATCACTTCTGACCAACAGCTAAAAAATGAGGGAAGAAAATGGTCAAGGGATTCTGATCAACTGTTTCGCATACATGCCACAAAATTACAAAAATTTCCCTGCAGACCTGTAATAAGACCCTCCCCCCCTACTTGAATGAGTTTCAATACCCAGGTAAAGATGAATCAACAAAATTAAAATATTGTGCTGTTTTATTGGTGTAAAAATCACACAATTGCTAGTTCTGATTCTGCAGAGATACATCCATGCAGTTAAACATCTATGATCCCACAGCCAGAAGAAGCCATTAAATAGAATATCTGCTGTTAGTCAGCAATTAATGCAAATTTACATATGAGATCAAAAGGTGTGTATCGTACAATATACAACAAATCCTAATACAGTACATCAACCTGAATAGCAGGATACACTCAGGGAACTCTGTTAATAGTGAAGCCTGTCTATATGCCAGAGAAATAAGGCTGGAAACAAGATGACAGAAGGTACCCCAGAATTCCTAAGAAACAAACTGTTCATTTTTTGTTTTTCTTTTTTTTTTTTTTTGCTGGGAATTAGAAGTTTATAGAGGTATTGACACATTACTTGACAATACAATTTGTTACAGTGAAGACTGGTGGATGTGATTTGTTATTAAAAGGTAATGTGTGAAACATGCAATTACAGATGGTGCTTAGGTAATGTGTAATTAATATGTTGGGGATTTAAACCCAACTCTCTTCACAAAAGGGAGGACTGAAAAAGGTCTGTTTGATAGACTACCAATTGTACCATAAATCTTTATGTGCATGCGGCTGAATCAGGATGATGAATGGATAAAATGTGAACACCTGGCAATCTGTGGTTACATACTCTATAATGTATGCAACAAAAACACAAAATCAAATCCAGCTGATATGGCAAACAGCCTGCAACAACTCCGACAACCTGAATAAGCTGGTTTATTGCAGAGAGGCAGGCTTTCTGGAATTGTGAACAACTGTCCAATTGTGAAAGGTAGCTTGGGAAGTAACACTGGCTGATGACAGATTACTAGTTTTGTCTCTTTTCTGGCACAATAAAATAAATGCCATGATGAAAGAAGAGTTTATGTGCTTAAAATTTCAAGTCAACTGATTATCAACCCTCTTCTGCAAACACATTTCAAAGGGGAAAAAAAGAAACTACTAAAAAATTCCAGTTGGAAATTTTGGCGACAAACTCTGCAAACTCAGGTCCAACAAAGATCATGGATGCCCACAGAAAATGATGTGAGAGGCAGCGTCACATTCAAGGAAAGGTTTTTTGTTGGTTTTTTTTTCTTCCTTTTTTTATCTCTGTACTGAAATTAAAATACTTAAATACAAAAGTGGACAACTCGACAAAACAGAACCACAACATTTAATGTAGAATAGAGTGCACTGAGCTAGATGCATGGATCTTTAAATAGGCTTTGAAACCAATACCCCTTTCAAAATTAGTAAATTCACAGTTAACGGCAGTAGGCTTAGAGGTGAGAGAAAGGTCGAAGTTGTTCCAGTTGGACTTCCAGGGAGATTCTCTCTTCAAGAACATCCTACAAGAGAAAAGACTTTCTACTGACTGTCCACAGAGAATGAATATTAAAAATTTCCTCATACAATCGAAACTGGTAAATGTCAGCTTCCGTTTTAAGAACTAACATATTTTCTAGAATCTGGATAACTTTTCCCATAATCTGAATAGGAGATCGGCTAGTTAGTAATTACAAATGAAAAAAATCAATACTTTTCTCAAAGGTGAGGCCATTTAGTATTTTTTCAATTTCTTTGAAATAACCCCAAACCACAAAGTTATAACCAGCTGCAAACCCAACTATAATAGTTTTAATTTAAGTCTAAAATGCTAAGGGGTTAAGATCTCATCCCAGTTAAAGGATTGGAAACTCACAATCTTTTTTTCCCCAGTTTCTCCTCTTACATGAGTTTTATGTACCTTGACTCTCATAAACAGTAAAAAGTGAAATTCAGGCTTGATAGTTTAAATGGTCTATCTTCCAGTCTACACAGTATCACCTTAATTCATGTTTACATTTAAAGATTTTTTTTAGTTAACTTGATAATTAAAGTTAGATATCTTAAGGTAAGATGGTAAGAGAAAGATGTCAAGATGGTAAAATCCAAAATTATAATAGCTGACCTAGATAAACAGATGGCTATTGTTGTTCCTATTAAGCTGCAAGTTTTGTATTCCAGGTTATTGTATCTGTTTAAAAATACTTAGAATTTCATTAAGACTTTAATGTTTGAAAAGAAAAAGATGCTTTTTCCTTCAGAAGAAAGCAAGCCACTTCAGCTGCTCATTACAGCTTTTAAAGTATCTGATGACCACAACAGATACCTCAAATTATTAATACTAAGTTTTCTGCTTTTATTTTCAGTGTAGCTGAAAGCAAATCAATACATTGAAAATGTGTTCTGTAGAAGTGTCCCTTGTAATTCCACAAAGCTTGTGACAACTAGGTATATTCTATGATCTACAAAAACAACTAAGTATTTTATATCAGTATCCTCTACTACATATACCATTGGTTGGCAGAGATGCCTGTTGCTGTGCATCACTAACGTCTTGCCCCCTCAGGCTCTTCTCTTAAACAGACAAAGATTATGGGATTACCTTCAGTTGCTGCTGTAGTTCACTATTCAATCTGGCCAAAACAGTGTTGGTTTCCTTGTTACGTCTGATTGATGCCTGAATTGCCTTCTTGTCTTTCCCCACTGATCTGAGAATGTATTAGAAGTACTGTAATAAGTAATTTCATTGCTTAGCTGAATATCTCATTTACAGTCCCTCTATTATAAATTAGCAGAATTCTCCAAATTTTTTTTAAAACTTGTTACACTTAATTTTGCCTCTTCTGCCTGGCTCGATTAACCTTGTTTGTTTGCATGGAAGCTACACATACTTCGTTTCAATGAAACAGCAAGCAGCACGTTTTAAAAACCTGTCACAATCAATTTTCTGAAGTCTCAAGACACTGTACCACATTCATTTACCTCAAGGTGACTAATGTAATAGTCTACTTTCATACTAGGACACAAAGACTTTCACATTTTGAACTGTTCACAGCAACCATTATTTAAAATGAAACAGTACATCTTAATACTTCCACCACTTCTTTCCAACACACTTGCAGAAGTTAAAAAGAGTTCACACTCCAAAATTCAAGATTGCCCAAAGGTCTCCCAGTAGTAGAGGCTTCAGGATGGTCTTGTTTAAAAAACCAAAAACCTTCAAACTGTTAAATTAATCTAATTCAAACACACTGAAATTGTTTGCAACTCCTGGAACAGAAAGTGTGTATCCTGTTTAAATGTAAACTTTCCAGTAACAGATGTATTTATACACTTCTTGGGTTACCTAGGAATAGATGGCTGTGAAGCAAGAACAGCAGCTATGACACCTGTTTTCTGTGTATGTTCCTCAGCTTCAGGTCTTAGCTCATCTTCTGATTTTAATCTTCTGCGAATAGGCTTTGGTGGTGGAGCAAGTGGGGTAGTGCCTTTGCCCTGAAGAGGAAAACACAGCCTATTAATCCTCACGTTTTTACTTGGATTACAACCTGGTAACTTGTTTTTGTTACATATTCCTAAAACCAGTTACTGAGCTAACCGAATTTACAACCCATCAAATGTTTTCTGATGGGCATCTAGCTGCATTCTCACATGGTCTGTAAAAAAACTTTAGTACTTTAGTACTAAATCCTAACTCCTGGTGAAAGGGCAGTAAGTTGCTAGACACCGACAGAGAACTGCAAGCAGAAACGCCACAGTACAACTGACAATTGCAAATGCACAACATCTCTGAGCATGCTTTCCTCCCAGTTATTATGTGTCTGTAACAAAAAAATGCTACCGTAAACCAAGTTCTGCGCTAAAAGTTTTGCTCTGTTTCAAAAACTGGAACACCCAGAAAAATCTTAATTTTCTGCTACCTTGAGAATAAAGCTAATCATGAACATTTTCTGATACAAAAATTCACCATACACATGCCTATTGCTAGCACATACTGGACCCAAGAAAACTGGGTTCAAGTGGAAGTGTATAAAGTTGCTGTTGCAAATCAAAACAGACATATAATTTCATATACATCAGAAAACTGCGCTCTCCTTCCAAGTGTGCTTTGCATACCGCAGTAGTGGGAACATTAGCAGGTGCTTTGTCTTCAACTCTTCCATCTGCTTTGGCAACTCTAAGAGAACTTGCAGAATCAGGGGGCTTTTCAACCTAAATGGATACAAGCTGTATTTAGAAAACTAGTTCTTAACAAATATAATTTGGCAACAGTCGGAATAAATACAAGTATGCTGTGTTTCTGATGTTAACAGTTTACACCTGAAATTCCAGTTCAAGCCTTCTTCAGAAGCACAAGCTGGAATACAACAACAATACCTGCTTTGGAGCAAAACCATCTAAAACTACCTTGATCAAAACCACTGTTTTGGCCTGGGAGCAGCTTGCAGAAGAGGCACCTAAGTAAAAAGCTCTATTTCCAGAATCAATAGGCAGACCTAGCTTTCGAAACAGAAATTAAGATTCGATACAGAATCTAAAATCACTACGGAAAACAGACGAAACAGTTACTTGAAAGTACTCTCCTCAAGCATTGCACTCTGGATGTTGGAAGACCTCTGAATAAACCCAAACCCCCAACATTATGAGGCACTGTAGAGCACAAAAGAGGCTGTGACCTGATGCTAAACTGCTACAGCTGTTTCTGCTACTACAATACCACCTTTAGCTGTCTGTAATTGCCAAGGGTTAATCCCTCCAAGAGAACACAATGCAACTGTTCCCCATCCACCTCAATGCAAAACAATCAGCAAGCTTAACTTAAGCAGTTTTCAGTGGCAGCTTAAGGTCACTGATTTTGCAATCAGGTACGCGGAGAGTGTTCACATGGTTCCACATCATTGACCTTCTTGATTAAGGGAAGTAAGAACACACTGCTGGTAGTTGGGAGAACTTTAAAGCACCACAGGTACTTTTGCAACCCAGGATGCAGAAATGCCCCAGAGAATTTATAATCTGGATAAAGACTACAAATTATGAAAGCAAAACATGAAGTAAGCCACGTAATAGCAGTAAGCTATGACGACACTAATCAGAATAAACCCTGAGGCTCCTAAACTTTTAAGTCCTGCATCTGTAGTAAGAAACAAGGTTTTGAAAATATCTCTAATGATGTATTAGAGAAGGATGCCAGAGCTCTGTTCACTTTAGCTGTTTGTCCAATAGCTTTGAACAAAACCAAATTAATGAAATTTTAGTGGATGTTTATGGTACTTGACAGTCATCTCATTTATTAAGACAGACTACTTCAAAACTTACCAGTAAGTCATTTGGAAGGCTGGCAAAAGTGAGCAGAACAGTTTCCCCCGTGCTAGTTCTCAAATGCACCAGCATAATTATGTTTGCGCACATGTATGCTAGTAAGTACAACATCTTCTGAATTACAATCAAGAATTAAGAATTTCTTCTGCCTAGGTGTTTGGCAATTACTAAACAAGTGTAGCAGTGCATAATGTAATTGCTTTCTAGCAATGAACTGGGACACCGTAAAAAAAAAACCCACTGAGTTCAAACAGCAGAAGCAGGTTTTAACAAAGTCTCATAACTTGGTGGTATTAAGCAACTGACAAGATCTTCACTTCTGCTCACCTGCAAGACTTCAGAGTGTGTTTCAATTTCATCTTCTTCCTCTTTGTTTACACTTGAAACCGCAAATGCCTCAAACTGGCTGAAGTCTGCAAAATTTGGCTGTTCTGGTATTTGTTGAGGTGAGGTACTGGTATGAGCTATTAGGCCTTCAGCATCTACTGGGCGATGCACATGAGGACCAGCACCCTGCAATAAACCAACCAAAATATCTAGTGACAGATGGAAGACAAACACTTTGTGAAACTTTGAAAGACTGCTCTCACAGCCTGTGTTATGGCCTATTAGCTAAACAGGGACAGGTAAAGAAATATGAAGGTGTAACTCTCCTCTTTCCTACAGCAATGAGCTCCAGAGCCACTCATTTCTCCTCAGCTTCTCCTTTAATCTCCTCACGTGGTTCCACCAGAAGCAATTCTTTTTTCAGGAAAGGATAACATTTGGCTACAGTCTAGCTTTTGCTATCATTCACATCCTGGCAGTTTCAAAAAGTATCAAGCAATGCTACTTGTTTTAGAGGCAAGTTAAAGTTCAGTTAGATAAAAATGATGCGCCAAGTTAAGAGTATGATTGTTTAGAAGTGATAACATCACCTGTGAAGGCTGTGGTCTTGGAGGCACTGCAGGGGGATAGGCAACAACTCCAGCCTGTTGCTGTCCTGTAAAAGAGGTATCATGTTTGGCCAAGATTGTTACTCTTCACATCACAGTGCTATCTAATTTTTTGACTTGTCAACATGCAGAAATCCTGCATTTTGCCTATATATTAACCTGTCATATGGAGGTCCACAATTATACTGTCATCTCCTTCCAAGGAGATGTCTGCAAACAGACAAAACAAGGAAACAGAACATGGATCTTGTCCTTTGGTCTAGCTCAAAGTACAGACAGGGTCATACTTTTCTGATCTCGGTGCTTTTATTCTTTTACCCTCATTATACACTCTTAACATTTTCTCATACTTTGTGATCCTGAAACGAAAAGCACTGACAAGTCAGAAGTACAATTAAAACCCTTAAGCAGAGCATCAGAAGTGACCTTTAATAATTTCCTCTGAAGTGAAATACTTAACGCCCATTTCTAATACATCTGATACCAAAAGAACCCCTCTTGAAAATTTACTGGCAGATGCAATTCAGTGCATGTGGGTGCGCTAGCAGAACATTATTTTCTGATTTTACTTCCCACATTCATCCAAAGGACTACAACGCCAGCATTTGCAATTTACTTCCAAACTATCTGTTCAAGCAAAGTGGAGTAGAAATTTTAATACAAACAGGAAGAGTGACAATATTTTCAGCTTTTTCATTCAGAAGCAGTGTTTTAAAAATACACTAAAAATCCTTCTTCAGAGAAAAAAGATGTCTGCTTCAGGAATATATGTGCTGAAAAATAAATACACTAGGAACACAGTATATCTACCTGGGGTAACTGAAAAGGATCTGTTCATATCTAAAGATGATGATCGAGAATGAGAAGGATGAGGCCTTGGAGGGGGTGGTGGTGGTGCAGTGTTATCTGGAGATGTTCCTGAATGTGACCTGCAAAACATTTAAGTTTCTGTAGTGATTTTAGGCAGCTAGAACAGAACTAAAGTTCAAACGTTTTTCAAAGTATACAACTAAAAAACCAAAGTTTGACAGACGAAAAAGAGCCTGAATGCCACTGACTTAAGATTGTAAAATCAGTTTTAAACTTCTTTTAAGTATTTGAAGTCTTTGCTATTCTTTGATTTCACAATTATTCTTATATCATTCCCTTTCCTTAAATCTCCGTTATTTAAATTATTCTTATATCATTCCCAAGTAGTTTATCTTTCAGAAGCCAATAGCTTGACACACAGCCCAAACAATGATAGTTCAGGAACAGAGAATCCTAAATACAGTAATTCCACACAGATGGTAGTCACTATAATCTACAAAGTATGTAAAATGTAGTCGACATCCTGATTAGGTTTTAAATGGGTTAAGTTCAATGTCACTGAAGAATATTACATTTCTGTTGGACCTGCCTCCATGTATATTGAGCTTAAGGAGTACCTCAGTGTATGAGATAGCTATTTAATCCTCTGCCTGAAATTTTCCAAATCTATATACTTGGTAGCATCTTCAGAAATTTTAACTCATTCTTAGATAGGATCACCATCTAGTGGATACCTGTTGTAAGTTCATTGAGCACACATGCAGAAGGATGTACTGCACTAAGTGCCATTTAAGTGGGATTTATTGTATACAGAATTTTTGTACAGCTTCCATTTAAAAACAGCTTACAGAAACTTACTAACTAGTCAAATTTGAGCAAAACAGATTTACTGAATCACTGACATGAATACAGCTACTCTTTTACTCAACTCGTAAGTGATAAAATCTTTTATGACTGACTTCTGTAACATTCTTCTATAACTATCATAAGATATAAAACTAGCCGAGGTAAGAGGTACCTCAGTTTCACACAAACCCTGAAATTCCTGAATATTTAAGTCCAGACAGAAAACTGAGTTACTGCAGTAGAAAAAATTGCTTTCTTAAGATACTCTCCAGGACAATGCTTCTGCAACACCCTGTAACCCTCCAGCTGATTAAATACAAATCTAATCACACTGACTCCTAGGGTCATCCCTCTAGCTAGCCTAGTATAAAAGGCACAAGTAGGATTAAAAAAGGGAGAAAGTGGTTTATGGGCACTCCTGAAGTACCATTATCTGACATAGCCATGTCAGTCTTTGCTTTTTGAAAATACAAAAAGTACTCTGGACTAATGGTAGGGTTAAAGACACTGTCATCTCTATAGATAAAATTGCAATTGGTAGAAGAGATATCAGTGGAAGAAAGTAAAAGAGGAAGTTGGAGAAAAATTTCCTGGGTGGACACTGCCAGACCCAGACAGAAGCTACCTGTGCCATACAGCAGCAACTCATCAGAAAGCTTCGCTCATCTACCAAGTTTGGCAAGAGAACCCAATACAAAATCAGGGATCAGGAGAACATGTCGAAACCATCATGTTGATAGTGCAAAAACATACACAGAAGCAGGACAGACAATCAAATTTGCCATTAAGTAGCAGTGGAGGAAAGAAGTTTTCAAGCTGCTGTACTGAGAGGCAACTGCAAATCTTTCCTTGCTACTGAAGCCACCCTAATTATTTTTGTTTTGAAAGTTACCTTTGAAAGTGATAGTAAGATGGTTAATGGCATAGCTCATTTTTAATCCTATTCAGGAAGATTTAATGGGAACAATTAGCACCAGCTAGTACAGCACATTCCCTTATGTCAAATGATGCAGTTGTTGGTTATGAGCTTGCATAGCTTCCTCCAATCCCTTAATTTATGTTGGGCCTACCCTGCCCTTCGTTTTATAAAAATGTATTATTAGAAAAGATTGAGTTACTGCTGTGATATTTCTAATTTATGTTTTATTCTTCTTGTATGCTACCAAGTCACAAGGTCCTTCCCTGCTAATGCCTAATGAAAATTTTTAAAAAGACAAAAAAATTGTTTAAAGTAACATCATGATCTCCTGTGCTTACATTCCCTTGTATTTAAGGATAAAGTCTTTATCAAGATTTCTGACCAAATATGGACCTTCATTTCATTGGCCAATCCCAAAAAACATTTTAGACTTTGTTATTTTTTGAGTTTTCACTTACACACTTTAAGAAGAACAGCACACACTGTTAATGCATTGGAAAACACACTGCCTCCAGATTCCCAAGTGTTAAAGTTAAGAATCTATTTAGCCATCATTTTACAATCTGGTTGTCAAACAACCAGAAAATCAGAACAGGCTTCTTCAAACACCTTTTATTTTTCTCAGTTGCTACTCTACTGACCGTTGCCGCGTTACAGTGCTTCCAATTTGCTCTGGGTCTGAAGTATAGGAGTCCGAACTGCTGTAACCATCTGCTGATAAAAGAAAGTACAAAGTTTCATATTTGTTTTGCATCATTAATATGCCCTGACAGATATAGGTAATATATAATTTCAAACATCCAATTTTTATTTCTAAAAAAGGTTTACATGCTTGTATTGCTTCCCTGTGAGGTATCATCTGGATTCAGAATCCTTGAGTCTGAATAACTGCAGGATCCAGTACAAACCAACTCCCCTCACCCAATATTATGAGTTGTTGGTTACTACTGAGATGCTCAGATTACAAAATGTAAGTTTCATGAGCAATAATTTTTAAACACATGACATTTTATCACTTCAACAATCCAGCCAACAAGAATAACGGACATCCAAGCAAAAAGCAAGGAGTAGGACATGCATGATTTGGAAGTGCTGCAAGATCACCAATCTTCGAAGTCAGAAAAAGGAAAAAATACGTACAGTACACTGATGAGCTCAGTAGCTTTGCCACTACTGTAACTTCTGTACCTACCTGGTAGCCAGCTCTGTTTTGGATTAAAACTTTCTAAAAGCTTTAAGCTTTTGGTTAAGGCAACCTATAAAAATGAAAGATGCTACTACAGCATCACACAGATAGTTTCCTTAAGGACACCATTAGCCTTAAAAGCTGTGCAAAGCTTGAGTTTGTTTCCCCAGAAATGAAGAGTCTCACCAAAATCACAAGATTTGTGTGGAATGAATCATAGAATCGTTCAGGTTGGAAAAGACCTTTGAGATCATCAAGTCCAACCACCAACCCTACTCTGAGTACACCCCTAAACCACATCTCTAAGCACCACATCTAAATGACCTTTAAACACATTAAGGGATGATGACTCAACCACCTCCCTGAGCAGCCTACTCCAAAGTCTGACAACCTTTTCAGTAAAAAAAATTTTTCCTGATGTCTAGCCTAAACCTACCCTGCTGCAGCTTGAGTCCATTCCCTCTTGTTCTATCATTAATTACCTCTGAGAAGAGACCAGCACCTACCCCTCTACAATGTCCTCTCAGGTACTTGTAGAGAGCAATAAGGTCTCCCCTCAGCCTCCTTTTCTTAAGGCTAAATAGCCCTACTTCCCTCAGCCGCTGCTCATAAGACTTATTCTCCAGGCCTTTCACC